TTTAGGGGTGATCAGGCCAGCAGGGGAAGGCAGTTGGGGGCCATCAGGACAGCACGCAGAGGCGGTTAAGGGCCATCAGGGAGGCAGGCAGGCAGACAGGTGAGTGGTTAGGAGCCAGCGGTCCCAGATTGTGAGAGGGATGTCCGACTGCTGGTTTAGGCCTGATCCTGCAGGGTAATATGCAAATAGACTGAACGGCAGAACCGGTTGCTATGACGCACACTGATCATCAGGGGGCAAACGCTCAATGCAGGAGCTGTCCTCTGGTGGTCAGTGCGCTCCCACAGGGGGAGTGCCGCTCAGCCACAAGCCGGGCTGATGGCTGGTGAGTGCAGCGGCGGTGGCGGGAGCCTCTCCTGCCTCTGCGGGCCTAAGCCATCAGTCGGACATCCTCCAAGGGCTCCCGGATTGCTAAAGGGCACAGGCCGGGCTGAGGGGATCTCTCCCACCCTCCCTGCAGTGCATGAATGTTGTGCACCGGGTCTCTAGTTATGAAATAAATGTGCCATTACCAATGGAACATGAGCACTGAGGAGGAAAGGAACCAGAAGATCAGAAGTTCACCAGATGCAACTTCCAGTTTATCTGTAAAATAGCAGTAATGACTTATAGAGTTGTTGTGAGGATCATTAATATTAGATATTTTGTTACTGCTTACTATATTACTGGTGCATGTGGGATACTGCTTCCCACATATAAAAATGAAATCCAGAATAGATTAAGGTGATATTGAGAAATTTTATCAAATATAAAGGAAATGTTTAAAAATTTTAAGATAAAGATTACTCCTTCCATTACATGACCTATAATTACACTAATAACACTTGTATCTTTTTTTTAACATATATTTTTTATTTCAGAGAGGAATGGAGAGGGAGATAGAAACATCAATCATGAGAATCATTAATTGGGTACCTCTTGCATGCCCCCTACTGGGGATCTAGCCCACAACCCGGGCATGTGCCCTTGACTAGAATCAAAACCTGGGACCCTTCAGTCTGCAGGCCAACACTCTATCCACTGAGCCAAAACAGCTAGGGCCACTTCTTTTTTTTTCAGCAGAAAATAGTTATCCAAGGATATTTACAACTTATTTTCAGTAGTGATACATGAATCTAATTCCAATCGTTTATTGTTCTTATCCAGAGAATTTTAGTTGATTTTCCCCATGGTTTGGAGGCACCTAACATAATATCTGATCTAGTATAAAAGTATTTAATACATGTTAACTCTTAAAATTAAATATGTCCATGAAATAGCTATCACTTATTGCCTATTCTGCATCAAGCATTGGAGGAGAAAGATGGTCTATCAGTGGTTGGCAAACTGCGGCTCTAGGTCATCTAATTTTATCCTCACAACCCGAAAGAAAACAAATTGCATTTGTTGGTCTTAACTTGAGAATACCATTCAAAAAGATTAACTGGAAAATGCACTTTTGTGGTAATTCACTGAACTACACATTTGTGGCTGGTGTACTTTTCTGTATATTTCAAGAAGGCTTAAGGGAGGGTTGGATAACTGGAAGTTAATTCGAGTGGCCCTTGTACAGATGAACTGTGACGTGCTGAGTTTGAGTGATGAGAAGGCTTTACTGAGGTGCTTATTTAGACCAAGAGGGGATAGATTTTTACTTCTTCCAAAATGGTGGCATGCAATTTCTTCCCATTTCAACACAAATCGGATGCGTTAAGATTTCACCTGAATATTCAAAAGCCATAGTTATGGGTGAAGAGGAATAATTACTTTCATTTAACCTTAATGGAAATATTTAGATTGGTCATTAACTTTCTGTGATTTATAGTTAGAACATTTCCCCCTCTTGACAGGTTTCGTGAAGAGAAAATGAGAGAAAAACAAAAACACCAAGAAGAAAGGCTAAAAGCTGCTCTGGAAAGAGCAGTAGCACAACCAAAGAAAAAGGTTTGTGTTTTGCTATTAATAGGTCCAGCTAGAGCTGCTATATCAAAGTGTGTGTGCTTCTGTGGTATAAAAACAAAATATCTAATTCACCGAATTTATCCAGATTAAACTTCAGTAGTCTTTCTTGCTCAGCTTCAATTGGTCTCTCTCTGGTTCCTTGTTACTTTTAGAATAATTCAAATTACTGGTAACAGTTCTCCATTAGGCCTACTTTGCAGTAAAAGAAACTTGTCCCTTCCTTTTTCTTTCCTTCCAGGTTCACGAAACCAGATAATTTTAAAAACTAGTTTTTTGAATAGGTAGTACAGGCATATGGTTCAAAGTTCAAAAGATACAAAAGAGTAGTCAGTGAAAGTTGTCATCCTTAGTTCCCCCTGCCCCAGAAATAATCATTGCTAACAGTTTCATCTGCATTTTTCTGGAAATATCCTATGTATTTGTGTCAATTATTCTTAATGGTAGCTGATAATCTTCTTCCACTTAACAATGGAAATAGTGAAGCCAGAGAATTACATATAACTATAAGGGTCTTCTAACCCTCACATAGTAAAAATAATGACATTAATAGTTGGGAGTTAAAATTATATCCCCAGTGTCACTTCAGATGTAAAAGACGAATCAGGACTGGAAGCCAAGGTTCTGTATATTGCAAGATCACCTGTAATAAGAAGTTTGGGGTTGGGCAGAGAGCTTACGGTCCGTCTCCCCACCGAGTGTGGAGGGCCTTTTGTTTCCATATGCCACTGTCCCTCCTCTAGCTCTGGGTCTGAAATATATTCTAGGAATCCAATTTCATGGCTATCTACAAAGATAATGTGGAAATTGATTGTTAACACAGTGATAGCTAACCCATAGTGAATGCTTATTGTGCACCTCACAACCAGCCTTTTGAGGTAAGGACTTAAAGTTCTGAAGTATGGTAATTGTAAATATGTGTATCAAAAGATAATGATTACCTTATTTAAATAAACATTTCATCTTAAAAAGAGTCTGTACCTCTCTAGTTCAGTACTTGTCCTCTACCTCCCGAGAATTAACCATTCATCATTCTCCCACATGTATACACTCCACTAAATCCACAAAATTGAAATTATTTAAAATATCCTTCCTTCTAGACCAGCCGTGGGCAAACTACGGCCCGAGGGCCGGATCCGGCCCGTTTGAAATTAATAAAACTAAAAAGAAAAAGACCGTACCCTTTTATGTAATGATGTTTACTTTGAATTTATATTAGTTCACACAAACACTCTATCCATGCTTTTGTTCCGGCCCTCCGGTCCAGTTTAAGAACCCATTGTGGCCCTCGAGTCAAAAAGTTTGCCCACCCCTGTTCTAGACCATGAATGAGTTTTATGACCTCTGTATCTCCATTGCCTAGCACACAGTGGATACTCAACAAATGCTTGTAAACAGACTAAAAATGAGAATGAAAACTAAAACTGGAAGAAAATAGAAAATAAAAATGGTGATCTGATAAACTGACAATGTATGAAAACCTGTGATAGAAGTTCTTACCCAGTTGGGATACTTCATCACGGGAAATTTTCTCAGATAAAAAATTCTGACTTTAGGAAAGGAATTCAGGGGTTCCGTTCCCCTAAGGGCATTTTTGTTGCTTTAATTATGGGGAGGAACTCTACTGTCATTTAGTTCACTGGGGCCAGGAATGTCAAACATTCTGCAATGCAAGGGACAGTCTCACATAGGGATAGTGCTCCTTTTAAGACACAATAGAGATGCCCCATCAAATCTCAAGTCCAATAGAATATCATAGTTTTGTCATCTATTTGATACAAATTCAACTGTCAAAGCAAAACCGAAAAGTTTACAGAGGAAAGACTAAAGATGATTTAATTGAGTATATGCCCCAGAGAAAATGAGTAGGTGTGAAACTAAGGATTTCCCCTAAGCCTATGCTGGTGGGAACACCTCCAAGAGCCTCCATTTCACTAATGTTTAAAATCAATCCCTATGTAATTGACTACTATTTTAAGCCTTATTACTCCTTGGAAAAATCAAGTTAATATTAGTATTTTACTTAGACTTCAATAGAAAAAGATTATTCTAAAGAATATTATTATTTCTTTTGTTTCAGCTGGGAAGAAGACTTGTCTGGCGTTCAAAACCGTTATCTGATAGCAAACATCAACTACTTTTAGTCAAGGATACAAGAGTAAAATCAATAGAGGAAGAATATTTTTTCACTTGAATAGAAGCAGTAAGGCCAAAATGTTTTAGGCATATTTTAAAGATTCTGGTTTACAGTAATGGCAATATTCTGCCCCATAGGCTTGCCTATTCAATGTGACGAAGACATGCCCTTGTTCCAAAGGTTATAGGGTTGGAAATGGGGAGTTATTTCCTTTTGTTGAAGGCTTTTTATTATCCATTGCCTAAGTATTATTCTAAACATTATACACCTATACTTCGATTTGTCCGAGTTGGGGATACACATCCAAAGTTATTTTATTGATGTAACTATATGGTTAATGACCATTAAACCGCAATAGTGGCATCCTCTGACATGAGACTTTGAGGTTATGTCTCAGAACATAATTCAGACTGGTTTTTAATTCATATTAAGGAGTACTGTTCAGAAACTTAATCCTCTTAAATGAACAAACCCAACTGCCTTCAACCTAAATGTCAGTTCACAATTTCTGTTGTGCTGTATATCCACAATCATTTTCATTTTTGTTGTTTCATTTTGGCTATATGTGTATACTATTTAAGCGTACACTGTTATTTGTCTATTACTAAGTAAAAAAAATATATATATATTGATGCAAAGAAAATAGTTCACTGTATACATGTAAAAAATGGCTCAAAAAACTTTAAAAGAAGCAGTTGCTTTTAAAAGGTCTCAGTTAATATATAATTACAAGAAAAGGGCTGTAGTTCATCTTCATAAACATTTATAAAGCATATAAATAACTCTCCTTTATAGAAATAATAAGAACATTGGGCTTACGAAAGAAAACCAACTTGAATGAAATTGGATAGCCTTTAAAGCCTTCTTTCTGTAAATAATTTTTCAGTTGTTTCAACACTGAGTTTTGCATGTAATAGTTCACAAGTCAAGTTGAAAAAACAAATTTTTATTGTCTAGAAATATATATAAAAAGAAATTTCCCACAAAAGATGCTATTCTCTCATTTCTCCATCTTCTTCCTCTTCTTCAACACCCCTGATATAAAGGACATTATTACACCTGTAAACAGAAAAACAGTTCATTTTGTTGTTCCAACTGGAAACAATGTAATATCTGATTTACAATTACTAGATTTTTTTCATTACAAAAATACTGACTGCTAAGTTTATAATATAGCATTTTTTCCTTTCTCTTTTTAAAGTTTTACCACTGATTTATTACAAAGCACATGGTACTTATTTTCTCACCATGTGGTTGTTATAAAATGGTATCTTTATGATCTTCCAAAGGGAATGACTAGAATTTGAATGTATAAAGTTAGTTCTAGAAAATGAGTTTAACTAAAAATCCTAGCAGCAGCCAGACCCAACTACAATAAAAAACCAAGCTCTTTTAATGACAAGTTTAACAATTTCAGGCTCTTGAAGTCTAGTTGTAGAATAATTTGGTAAATTAATAGCGTTTTTAAAAAGTAATTCTGAAACTGAGGCACTAAATGAGTTTTTTTAAACAGGTTATTTCTAATGTTCACCAGTAATTCCTTACATATACTACTACTGTTTTGTTACCTTATTAAAACTTCACCCAGGTGTCCAGACAAGGCTCCATCTATGTATTCTTCTGTGTTTGCAAGCTTTAAATAAAAAGAAAATATATTACTGGTACAGAAGGAAAATAGCTAAGACACACCTAATACCGGTGAGAGAACTTGTTAACTGAGACCTTTTTATATCAACTCATATTTATCTATAATTAATATTAGTTTTCTATTACTATTGTAGTACATATGGTTTCACATAAATATTAGGTAAAAGTTAACATTGATGTATGTAGAATATATAGTAAAAATTATTTCAACATAGTATTTTTAAAATCTCTCAGTTGTGTAATATTTCTTTCTAGTAGACATTAGAATAACATGTCAAGGAAGGAAATCTCCCAAATTATGAATAAGTTGACTAAAGTTTTCCAAAGCAGAAATTAACTTCTCTTGGAATACTAACTTTATACTATAGTATCATATTGAGGAACCCAATGGATGTACAAAAGTTATGGCTAAAATACTTTCATATTAGTCATCAACCAAACCAAAGACTTGAAGAATCTTTTTTAATTACGTGCTAAAAAACAGGAAAACATGTTCTTAAAAAGGAGGTTAGACAATAGCGTAACCTTACAAGCTTCTATAATCACTAGGATATAATCTATAGCACAGGGAATATAATCAATATCACAATAACTGTATAGTGACAGATGCTTACTAGATTCATCATGATCACTTTGTAAGGCATATATGTGTGTGTGTGTATATATACCTATACATACACACACACGTACATATACATATATATATATATATGGTGTCCTAAAAAATGTACACACACTTTGAATGATTATAAAGTCAGTGTTTATTAACATACAGTTCATTTCAAAATGAAAAAAATCTCCAGACATGAATAATTTTTTTTGTCAACTCCTGTTTTCAAACTGATGACCGTTCTGGTCGTTACTGCTGATAATGCGAAGGAATGGAATAGCAAACACCAAGAATCATTTTGTTGGGTATCTGTGCACCCTTAATTCGCCGACTGTTGCCAGTTTGTACCATAAACTCTCTTTTATGTATCCCCATAAAAAAGTCTAGTGGATAAATTTTCTTTGTTCAAAGCTTAATTTGGCTTCACTCATTATTTCAAATCAGCTAAACCTGAAAAGGAGTGAAAATTAAGTGAGTTATCAGCTGTTAAAGTGTGTATACATTTTTGGGAGACACACTTTGAAGAATTATAAAGGCAGTGTTTATACTTCAACTACATTTTCAAACTTCCAGTAGCATTTTAGGATGAATTTCCTTTGTTCAAAGCTTAGTCTGGCTGGAAAGAACCATCAATTGAGCTATCAGCCGTTAAGGTGTGTATTACATGTTTTTTGGGACACCCTAGGTAGCTAGATATAAAATCACTATGTTATAAGCCTAAAGCTAAGTATTATATCAACTATACTTGATTTTGATCCAAAACGTCTTAGGAACTGGGATTTGATACTCATTCATAAGTATTTAAATGCAACATTTTCTTTACTATTCTGGCTTGTGGGTTACATACCTACAATGTGATAAAACATTTTATACAGGGATTTGTGGAGACCTGAGGTCTGATATAGCCTTCATGTTTCAACTGTTAAATGTTAAACATTTAAAAGTTTTTAAAAAGTAACCTTTATAGTTAGGAAACTATATTACTCTAATTTTAGATCAAAATGTTTAGCTTTCTTCTACATACAGGTAATAAACTTTACTTTTAATTTTTAAAAATCACAATCCATATAATGGGCACTCAAGAAATATGTGCTAAGAGGACAAACTCAAAGGCATCATCAACGTAGTTACGAAACTGGCAAGTTCACTAGGAAGCTATATTACTCTTTAAAAAAATTATTCTTTATTGTTGAAGAAAGTTACATTACTTTTAAAACCAAATATTTGGCGGGTATTCTTTATTCCCTTCTTTTATTGAGATAATAGAGGCCTGGTGCATGAATTCGTGCACTGGTGGGGTCCCTTGGCCTGTCCTGCGGGGATCGGGCTGAAACCGGCTCTCTGACAACCCCCAAGGGGTCCCAGATTGCAAGAGGGCGCAGGCCAGACCGAGGGACCCCAACCAGTGCACGATCGGGGCAGGGGAGGGACCATGGGAGGGCTCCAAGGTGTGTCCAGCCCATCTCGCCCAGTCCCCGATTGGCTGGACCCCAGCAGCAAGCTAACCTACCCGTCGGAGCATCTGATCCCTGTTGGTCAGTGTGTGTCATAGCAACTGGTCGAATGGTGGAACAGTCGGAGGGACAATTAGCACATTAGGCTTTTATATATATAGATAATTCCCAAAATACAAAATTCACTCTTAAAGTATACAAGTCAGTGGTTTTACCTATATTCATAAAGTTGTACATATAACCATCACCACTATCTAAGTGTGGAACATTTTCAGCACAAGCGATATGCTCTCCAGATTTTTTATGGCCTTGGTAAATGATTACTGCTTAGGGAATTTTCCAGGCCAAACCATGCTCTATATAAATTTTGGGGACATGAGCATCATCTGTTAAGGTAGAAAATAGTATGGCTGTTCCTCAAAAAATTATACAAAGAATTACTGTATGATCCAGCAATTACATTTCTGATATATAACTAAAAACAGACTCAAGCAGATATTTGTATAGCCATGGTCACTGCATTAGTCACACTAGTCAAAATGGGGAAATAATCCAAATGTCCAACAGAAGAATGGATTAAAATGCAGAGTATACATATAATGAAATATTACTTCCATAAAAAGAAATTCTGATACATGCTACACCATGAATGAGCTTTGAAAATATTATGCTATAAGCCAAAATAGACAAGTATTGTAGTATTCCATTTATATGAGGTACCTTTAATAGAGAGACAAAAAGAATAGTATTTACCAAGGGACTGGAGACAGCGGAAATGGGGAATTACTGTATTTTTTAATGGGTATGGAATTTCACTGTGGGATTGAGTCATACACTTGAAAATGGTGAAAGTGGCACATTTTGTTATCACAATTTTTAAAAAGTTCACAGAAATATTCACAGAAGCTAATGTTACAGACATGCAGTCAGTTGATTAATTCATTTGGCTGATATGTCTTTTCCCTCAAGAAATCAGAGTACTCTGATTTTGTACTTTCAGCATTCATTAAAAACTTAAGAATTTGCCCTAACTGGTTTAGCTCAGTGGATAGAGCATCAGCCTGTGGACTGAAGCGTCCCAGGTTCGATTCCGGTCAAGGGCACATACCAGGGTTGTGGGCTCAATCCCCAGTAGGGGGCATGTAGGAGGCAGCCAATCAATGATTCTCTCTCATCATTGACGTTTCCATCTCTCTCTCCCTCTCCCTTCCTCTCTGAAATCAATTTTTAAAAAAATTGTTTTTTAAGTAAGAATTTTACTTGAAAAAATTTTTTTCAGAGTTAAGTGCTGAGAAAGGTTTTTCTTTTTCTGCAAATTTGTGTTTTCCCCTTCTGGCAGTAGGAATTAAATGTCCAAGCTCTTCTTACTTTTAACAACTAGGGGCAAGTCTGGGGCTGTATTTTGGTTTATCATGTCTCATACGTAGTTCATCACATCCTCCCTGATCTTGGCTTTTTCCCCTGAATTTTTGCTTTATCAATTTAATTAACTGCATTCTCATAAGTCACACTAAACCTTAGAGGAGTAAAGTGAAGAAAAAGAAATGCAATTTAGTGATTTTTATAATTCTTTAGCTTACCTGCATGTTCATATAGCCATCTACAGATACCAGGTAGCCTTTGTACTCCATTCCCCACTTAAGTTTCACCATTACTGGCTTTCCTGTTAATCCGTTGAGGAAAGGTTTGGGATTGAGGGGCAAACTCTGCACAAAGAACAAAAAAAGAACTCAATTCTTTTCCAGAGCTCAGTGCCCACCACCTACTCTGGTACCAAATCACCAATTTTTATGGTATCACTTTTATTTGTTAAAGAGCATCAAAAATATTTAAATACCCAGTTAGCCTATTTCCTCTTCAACCATCAAAATGTATACAAGTATTCATTATTTCCTTAGGAAACACTTAATAGCTATTAAACATCACTCACTGTTCCAGGTTACAAAGAAACAAAGGCAAAGGCAGTTAAAAAAAAATGCAGGGGACAGTCCCTGTCCTCAAGCTCACTCTAGGAGGGAGAAGGGCAAAACACATAAATAGACTATTGCAAGGTTGTAAGAGGAGATATGCTATGTACAAGGGGCCAACCCAATCCAGTGTTAAGAGAAAAGGAAAGGCTGCCTGAAATAAGCAATGCTCCCATTTCAAAGGATGCGATAGATTCCCAGGGGGAAAACAGCAGTTCTAGGCAGAGGAGACTACCTATGGAACAAGCAGGGAAGAATGAAGCAACCAACAATGCAGTGCTGTCAGACTAACTCCCAATATGCGACTACAGAGGGAAGCAGGGGCACTAGACAGTCTTTTGCTCGAATCCTAGGAACGAGGACTGGGTCTTGCTTGACTTCAGTGCCTCTTACATGTGAGCTATCACTTAATGTTTCTTTATTCGGCAAAGGAGTAGTATCCTTAGTAATCACACACTTTTCTCCTCCGCCTGCTCACCCATCAGCCCAAAGAACCAAGAAGCTTAGCTACTAACCCTCCTTTTTATTTTATTTTTATTTTTTAAAAAAGCACATTCAGAGTTACCTAGGGACAAGGGGACTGCTGCAATCACCTCCCAATGAGTCTCCAGTTTCCACTCTTTGTCTTTCTCCAACTTGTTATCCACAGAGCAACTGTTATTTTTTTTTTATCATATCATGTTTCTGCTTAAAATGCTTCAATGGCTCCCAATTGCAGTTGGAGTAGAATCCAGACCTCCCCATGTGGCCTGAGAGGTCATAACCAACATTCATGCAAGAAACTGGCTTTCTGCTCAGGCCTCCAAGGGGTCGAGCCTTACTTCCGGCCTCAGGGCCAATCAATGCTCCTGTTTCCTGGGCTCGGTACACGCGCCCTCCAGCTCGTTAAGGGGCTGCGTTTCCCGTCATTTAGGTTTCAGGCTAAACCCCTCCCCTTCCGGGGATGCTCTCTCCGACCGCTCTGCTAAGGTACCATCGCGCCCCCTCCCAGCAGCCTGCTTGCCTCCTTCTTAGCACGGATTATTTGTAATTCTATATGTTTCTGTTGTTGTTTGATTAACGTCTGTCTCCCACGCCCGACAGACTTAACCCAGACCAAGGTCGGCATCAGTGCTTTTCACCTCATCGTCCTACCGCCGAGCACAGCACCTGGCAGGTGGCAGGCACTCGGTAAATATTCGTTAAATGAACAAAGGAATGCTCCGAAGCCTGGGCTCTGTGCTCAGAGCGCTGCGCGTCCCAGCAGCATGGAATGGAAGCGGGCTTTCATTTCCAAGTGGGACGGGAGACACCTCCTCGTCCTCACCCCGACCCTGCGGCCCGAGCCAGCGAGGATATCTCGGGCTCAGATTGAAAACGAAGCCGAGAGGAAGGGAGCGGGGGGGGCGGCGGGAGGGGCGCGCGCCTCAGACCCCGGAGCCGCCAAGAAAGGGCTGCTGCCCGCCCGCGCAGCGCCTCACGCGGATGAATGGGAAAGGCGCGAACCAACCACCAGGCCCAGCGACGCGGAGCCCCCGCGCGCGCGCGCTCTCTCTCCCCGTCTCTCTGGAAACGCCATCCCTTCTCTTTCCTCCTTACCATCGCGACGACGAGCAAATGCTGTAGGCTACTCGCCGCCGACCCAGCTCTTGTCCGTCCCTGGTGCCTGGAGCGCCTACCCCAGCACGGACCACGAGAAATGGCCGCCCAAAAGCAGCGTGACCTTTCACCTCCGACTACTGCTCTTCCGCTCCTATGATTGGACGCAAAGAGGTATGTGCTGATTGGATGAGATGGTGAGCAGTGTATCCTAGCAACCAGCGACGCTGCGTGCTTTGGTTCCTTCCGCGCCGGCCTTTGGGATGCCTCCGCTCCTTGATTCGGGGGGGGGGGGGGCTCCCTGCGAGACTGCGACGGTAGTGAGGCCGGCGCGGTTTCTGAAGAAGGAGTTCGGGGCTCTCGAGTTTCTTCCTCACTTTCTCTCAGATTCTGTGATCTGGGGGTTCCTCTGCCATTGTCCCCTTCTACTTGACTGTTCGCCATTCTGTAATGCTCACTTCGACCCACTTATAAAAAGATGTGGGAGAAGCAAGACTAAGGGAGGTGAAACGCACCGAAGAAAGTCAAGTACAGAATATATTTCAGATGAGATCCTACGGAGACTAGAATATGGTGCGGTGGGCTCCCCGTCCCTCTGTGTCTTTTGCGTCGCCAGCAGAGACCTGGCGCGGCCCTTTTTCGTGAACAGGATTTATAAACTAAGGACGTGGGGGATCTTTACACTCGCCCTGACTATCCTTGAGAGCGCAATGGTGTTATTGGTCAGAATCCCACTTGTTCTCCAGTTCAGACTTTCAGCTCGCTCAGATCTGAAATGCCTAATGCAGTTCTTGGAGAATACACACTTTTAGTAGTACTGTTTTTTGGTTTTGTTCTTGCAACGCTAAGGAGAGGAATTTGGGCTTTAAGTTTAGATGTTGTGCATTGAGGCCTTGTGGAGAAGTGGGGAAGACTGGAGGCAGCCTGAACTCAGAACCTCCGTCCATCGCGTGAGGATTAGTGTCGGGCAGTTTCTTAACTTCCTAAGGCTTTGTTTCCTCAACTGTGCGTGGCTTGATAAACTAGCCACAGCTTTCTGGGGATTAAATAATTAATGAGGAGAGGTTAGGGCTGTGGTTGGCCATGTAAGGGCTCTGTAGATGTTAACTATAACTTTAATGTTGTCCCTGCAGATGTTGGAGAATGCTGACAAAATACAGCAATTTGGGGCATGGTTTATGCCAAAGAGTTGGAATTATTTACCCCAAAGTTCAGTGGGTTTTTTCCTTAGTTCCAGAACCATTTCATGGATATTTAGCTTTTGTACAGATTTGGCGTTCCTCCCATGTGCCAGGCTCCTTCACAGTTGTCATAATGGAAATCTTCCTACACAGACCCATTTAGTAGTCACAGCCCCATTTCTGAGATGAGAAATGAGCTGAGCAGGTAACTTGTGCAGGGCCAAGCTGGCTTTCAACCTGAAGATTCTTTGCTTTTCCTACTTTATGATGCTAACTTTCAAAAGCTTTAGAAGTCTTATTTAGAACTTATTTTCTAATTTTTTTCATTGAATTTATTGGGGTGACATTGGTTAATAAAATTATATAGGTTCCAATTGTACAGTTCTATAATACATCATCTGTGTATTCACCACCCCAAGACAAGTCTCCTTATGCACCATTTATCCCCCCCTTTACCCCATTCTACCTCCCCCACCTCTTTTCCTCTCCTAATCACCATACTGTTGCCTGTGTCTATGAGGGTGTTTTGTTTTGTTTTTGGTGATTGATTTTTTTTTTTTTGCTTAATCCCTTTATTTTTTATACCCAGAACTCCAATCCCCCTCCCCTCTGACAGCTGTCGGTCTGTTCTCTGTATCTATGAGTCTGTTTCTATTTTGTTAGTTTATTGTGTTCATTAGATTTCACATATAAGTGAAATCACATGGTACTTGTAGAAGACTTATTTTTTAGATATACTTTAGAAGACTTATTTTTTAGCTGTTATTTCAGTGAAGGAAAACAAAACATTACTGTAATCTACATTAAAATGGTTATGTTCAAAGTTGGTTTTTCTCCTTATGTTAAATATTAATCTCATGTGGATCCTAAAGCAAATTAAATCTGAAACATTACTGGAGGCAGAAATAACAAAACTGAAGCTGCCCTACTTCAGGCACATAACGAAAGGCAGGGTTCTTCAGAAAAGACAATAGTGCTGGGAAAATAGAAGGCAGCAGGAAAAGAGGAAGACCAAATATGAGATGGATTGACTCCATAAAAGATGCCAGAGCTGAGTGGCTGTTGAGGAGAGGACATCGTGGAGTGGCCAGAAGTCATAGTCAGGTTTATTCATACTAAGTTCTAGCAATTATCAGGCTATGCTAATTGTAGCTGCTGCAATTCTGAAAACAAAACATTTTAAACATTACACTTGGTACCATATATTTGGTCAAGTTCCTGGACCTCTCCAGGCCTTAGTTTTGCACTAGTCAACTTAAGGGATTGAAACAGATTATTTTAAGGGCCTTTCTAGCTTCAATATACTATTACTAGAATGCATGAAATTCGTGCAAGGGGCGGGGGCCTCTGCTGCCTCTGCCTCCTCCCCGACCACTGCGGCTTCATACGGAAGGATGTCTGGTCTAATTAGCATATTACACTTTTATTATTATAGATTCTCTGATATTTTAAATTAATAACTGGAAAAAATGAAGATTAAATAAAGAATATCATTTCCATTGTAACTATGCTTTCAACTATAGATTAGTTATAATTTATTATTAATTATTAATACATATTAATTACTTTTCAGTTTGGGCAACAGTAAGCTTCTTGTAGATTAAACCTTTCAGTTTTCTGTGTATGTTGAGAACACTAGGCAGTAAAATATAATTATTTTAAAAGCATACAGTGTAAAGTGAGATTTTTCAGTGATGTTAAACTTGTATCTTGATTCTCAGAGTACAGTAGAGCAATTAAAAATGTGATAAATTAAGAAGGAAAACTAAAACTGGTTAATCCTTACAACAATGTTGTGAAGTAGGTATTATTAGCTAGAGTTGCTAAGTAACTTGCTCAAAGTGCCACAAGGAATATACCTTTAAGTCAGGATCTGTCTTTCTCCAGACTTTGCTCCTTTAGCTCTTCTAATCCAAACTGTAAGAACCTCAGGGAAAACAAACAAAGCATCTTACTTCCACACACAGTTCATAGCCTCAGTAAGATAGTGAAATTCCTATACTGCAGACTGAGAGTGAATTCTTTTGAGAGATGTGACTGTCGACTTAATTACCCATACACATGACCTTCTGTATAGTATCAGATTCATCTGTCAGCCTCTGAATCAGGCTTTGGTGAGTGGTCAAAATTAAGATCACTTATATCAGAATGTCTGCTATGCTCTATTTCATTCTCTGTCTATAAGCAGAGGACACATAAACAGCTAGCTCCTGGGACTTTAGAGGAAGACTTAGCTTCTTACAAACCTACCACCTCTTATTTTTATTTAAATATGTTTTAATTGAGTTTTAGAGAAAGAGGAAGGGAGAGCGATAAAAACACCAATGAGAGAGAAACATCATTGTTGGGCTGCCTCCTGCATGACCCCCTACTGGGGATTGAGCCTGCAACCCAACCATGTGCCTTAACCTGTTGACCTGGGTCAAGGCTCAGCTGCTGAACCACACAGGCCTGGCACTTCCTCCTCGTTTGAGTAGTTGTCACTTCATAGGCTTGCTTAAATAGACCTTTTCCTATGACCGCCCCCCCCCCCCCCCCCCCCGCTGATTCTGAATGGACAGATTCTCAGCCCCCTGCCAACTGGTGAATATATTGCTTATCCTCATCTTTACATTTTACTGATAGTCTTCATAATAACTTACCTAGAAGACAAATGGCATAACTTGCTTAGAAGACAAATGACAACTGATTAAGGAAGAATCAGTGTTGGTAGATTTCTGCCAGATACCTCTACCATTTTAATGCGAACTATCAGCAGTTTTTGTCATGATGGAAGAAGGAAAGGATGATACTAAGAACTATTGCCTTCTCTCAAAAGCAGCATACTATCTATTTGCATTGTTTTTAGAGAGGATTTAATGAAGTCGACATATAGATTATGCATAGCATATTGCCTTTGCACATGCTGTTCCCTCTGAGTGGAATGCCTTTCTCTTCCTTCTCTGCCTACCTTCCCAGAGCTAGCCCAAATAATACATTCAGTATGAGCCCTTCCCAGACTCCCATGGCACCACTCTTTCCTCAGGTTCTGACAGCACTTTTTTTCCTACCTCTGGGATAGCAGTTAACATGTTGCAGAACAGTCTGTATCATTATTTGTGTGTCTTGACTCAACTGGAAGCTTCTTGAACACAGGGACCATCGTGTGCTTATTCATCTTTGCAGCCCCTGCACACAGAACAGTGCCTAGCACAGAGTAGGTACTGGGTTACTGATTGTTAAATAACATCCCTGCTATAGTGTGAGATTTTTCTTGCTGGGGTCCAGACCCATATTCATGTATTGTTTTAATTTATTTTTATAAAGTAATAAGTATTCTCCTATTTATTTATTTCCTCTATACATCTGGTTATATCACATTCCTAATTTGTATATATGTGTGTATATACATATATATATATATAAATATATATATATATGTATATACACACATATACATATACACACTAGAGGCCCGGTGCACAAAAATTTGTGCACTCGGGGGTAGGGGGTCCCTCAGCCTGGCCTGTGCCCTCTCGCAGTCTGGGACCCCTAGGGGGTGACCACTTGCTGGCTTAGGCCTGCTCCCCGGGGGATTGGGCCTAAGCTGGCAATCAGACATCCCTCTGGCAGCCCAGCAGCACTCGGGGGATGCCCATTGCCAGCAGGGCACAGACCTAAGCTGCAGTCGGACATCCTTAGCGCTGCTGAGGAGGCAGGAGAGGCTCCCACCACCACCGCTGTACTGGCAGCCATCAGCCTGGCTTGTGGCTGAGCAGAGCTCCCCGCTGTGAGAGTGACTGACCACCAGAGGGCAGCTCCTGCATTGAGCATCTGCCCCCTGGTGGTCAGTGTGTGTCATAGTGACCAGTCATTCCCAGTAGTTCTGCTGTTTGGGTCAGTTTGCATATTACCCTTTTACTATATAGGATAGAGGCCTGGTGCACGGGTGGGGGCTGGCTGGTTTGCCCTGAAGGGTGATCTGGATCAGGGTGGGGGTCCCCACTGGGGTGCCTGGCCAGCCTGGATGACGGGCTGATGGCTGTTTGCAGCTGGTCACACCCCCTTCAGGGTGGGGGTCCCCACTGGGGTGCCTGGCCAGTCTGGGTGAGGGGCTGAGGGCCGTTTTCAGGCTGGCGGGCGACTGAAACTCCCAGCCTTTTTTTTTTTTTTCTGGGATTTATTTACCTTCTATAGCTGTCACTGGAGCTGAGAGCTGGCTCCAGCTCTGAGGCTGTGGCTGGCTGAAAGCAGGTATCTGGGTTTGTTTAGCTTCTATAATTGAAACTCTGTTGCCAT